CCCTGCAAATTCACATGAGTGATCTTAGTTCAGCTGCCCACGCTGGTCAGGGTCAGTAATCATTCATGTTAATTTCACTGAAAAATGCTGAATATTTTTTTATATATTTGTTGACCAATTACATTTCTTCTTCTGTAAAGTGTCTGTTCAGTTCCTTAGCCTATTTTGAGAAAGGAGCTGTGGTCTAGTCCTAGCCAATGCCACATGAGAATGTTACTGCAGGGGGATTCTGTGTAAGTATCCCTCTTTTCTAAGATTATTTTAACAGAGTTGACTCCTCATCCTAATCTGGATATTGTGCTGCTGTGCTGGGCTGTCTGATCCCAGCTGCAAATGATGTCAAAACATAGAGGAGAGAAGAGTCAGGAGCAGATGGGATAATTTCTAGACTCACATGGACTATACCCAGAGCTCATTCTTTCTCTGATCTTTGAGTTTGGGGAGTAAACCTGTCTGTGTAGGTTCAGCCAATATGATATTTTTGAAAGATTTTATGACCCATTGTAGCCAAATGACAGCAACCACTGAAGATAACAAGTTTCTCCCTGAAACCTCTGAACTAACTGCATTTTGTCTCCATACAAGACCATTCAGAATCTTTGAAAACTGCTGATTTCTCAATAGAGCATAAGGGAGCCCCCTTGGTTTTTAAGGGCTGACCATGGTATGCACAGAAGTAGCAGCAATTTCACAAAGGCACTCAATTTTCTCCTCTACTCTTCCAGAGCCATGGTCTATTTTCCATGATTTAGGAAAGACTACTGGTGTTCAACTACTTTCTTAAAAAATTAAAAGAAAAAAAATGATACTTCTATTTTCTATTGCAAGGAAAGATTTCATGCCATTTTCTAAGGAAAATAAAAGTGTCACCTAACCAAAATGGCATCATTTTTATGTACCCTAGAATTTATTTTCTGTCTATTCATGTGCCATGAAATCTGGTGTTTTCTGGACTATGAGTATCAAGCTGCCTCTCTGATCTGCTGAGGGCTGCCATCAATTTCTGAAACTATCTAAGAAGTTCAGCTGCCTGCCTGGTTGGGAGGATGAACAAGGTGTCTTAGATATGATAAGCACATACTTGTTACCATGTATCTTCTAAGGTTTGTGACCAGATAAGATTCAGTGATGCTTTTTAAATTTTTTATTTGTTTTAATTAGTTATATATGACAGTAGAATTTATTTATGCACTTTGGTATATCATATATTGATGGGGTATAATTTCTCATTTTTCAGAGTGTACATGTTGTTAAATCACATTGATCATGCAGTCATATATATAGTAATACATAGTAATAATACATAGTAATAATGTCTGTTTCATTCATAGTAATAATGTCTGTTTCATTCTACTATCCTTCCTATCTCCACATCCCCTCCCATCCCCTCCCTTCACTCCCATCTACCTAATCTAAGTAACTTTATTCTTTTCTAGTGCCCCCTCACCCCGATTTTGAATTAGGATCCAAATATTACAGGAAACATTCTGCCTTTGATTTGGGGGGATTGGCCTGTTTTGCTTAGCATGATATTCTCCAGCTCCATTCATTTAATGTCAAATGCCATAATTTTATTCTTCTTTAAAGCTGACTAATATTCCATTAAATATATAAACCACATTTTCTTTATCCATTCATCTATTGAGGGACACCTAGGTTGAATCCATAATTTAGCTATTGTGACAGTAGCTGCTATAAACATTGATGTTTAAGTTCTTTTGGTATAAACTGAAGAGTGGGATACCTAGGTCAAATGGTGGTCCCATTCCAAGTTTTCTGAGGAATCTCCATACAACTTTCCATAGTGGATGCAGTCCCACAAGCATCCACTATGGAAAAGTTCCTTTTTCACCACATCCTGGCCAACAATTACTTTTGCCTATATTCTTAATGATTGTCATTCTCAATGGAATAAGATGAAATCTTAGTGTAGTATTGATGTGAATTTCTCTAATTGCTAGAGATGTTGAACTTTTTTTATATATTTGTTGACCAATTACATTTCTTCTTCTGTAAAGTGTCTGTTCAGTTCCTTAGCCCACTTACTGATTGGGTTATTGGGGTTTTTTTTTATGTAACATTTAGTACTGTAACTTTGATTTGCAGAAAGAAATTGATAGTTCTTGTACACTACCCATGGACCAAGACCAAATTGTGCGAGGCAACATTTGCAATCATGGGAAAAAACACACTGAAATTGTCTATCATTTTGAATCCTGGTTTTCTCCATTGCATGCTTTCACTGGTGCTTTAGGTAATTGAATTTTTATAGAACTTGTATAGTGATAATTCACCAAAATTCAATGATTTTTTTGATGTTTCCATGGGAAAACTAGAGATTTTCTAATCCAACATTTTCTCACATCACTCTATATTCTACATTTCCAAGTGACTTGTGAGATTCTTTTCTATGAATGTATCCTCATTGACATAAATATTTACAAATATATTGTAATTAGGATTGTTTCTGCTTTTTTTCTTAATGCTAATCATGACTCCAGCTATGGAGTACTCAAACATTCCTTTTTGTCTACAGCATATAATTATCAAAAGAACATTTGGTGGAAGGAAGAACAGCAGAGTAGAGAAAGGGAATCAAGAGGAAGAAGAGCGGGAAAAAAGAAGGCATGGGAAAGTAACTAGGAAATAAACTCTACCCTATTATGTTATTTCCATGTACACATATATGACAGTAAATCAACACATCAAATCATCCTCATATATACATGTACAAATAGACTATCTGAATAAAAATAACAATAATAGAAAGAAGGTCAGGACAATAGATCAAACAGATCCGAGGAAGGAGAAGAGAAAGAATGGGGAAAGGATTTAGGAATGAGATTGATCAAATGTTATGTGCATATATAAATTTGGCATCATGAATCCCAATATTATGTATAATCATATTCACACACTCACACACACACACACACACACACACACACACACACACACACAAAGAAAAACAACTTTGTATGTTCCAAGCAGAGAAGTGCCCAACTCATCCTCTTCAATCTGACTCCTCATGCTCCTTCCAGGATGGATCCCCTCTGCCTTCTTCACAACCAAGTGAAAGGAAAATCTCATTCCCCAGTTTCCAGGAGCTCTGGTCCTTGAGCTGCAGGAAGGGAGCCCTTGGCTTGCTGCTCCTCTCTGCCATGTGTGCTTCGTCTTGCAGACTAACAACAATCATCTAAATGCAATATGTTTTCTGATTATTCCATGGGCTAGAGAAGCATTGACTAATAAATATCAATTGTATTTTCCTAAAGTCTTAGAAATCTTATCTTTTCCAACCCCAGGAATGTGTTAGCATCACCAAACCCCAGCTTACAAGCTGGTACCAAATTAGTCTTTGTTTATAATGAGTAAAAAAAACTAATCATAAACATAAAAGAGTGAATACAGAACCTTGAGAAAATAAACTTTTTTTCCAAAAATTGATGAGTGCTGTTTTTACTGGACTGGTCAACTTTGCTGTAGCTGAATGTCAGTTGATAGGAAGGATGAATTAACAACAGAAGTGATGTATCCAATCAGTAGCTGTCTCCTGCATCACTATCCATGTGAGTGATACAAATAGAGGTCATTTCAAATGTGTCCATGTTAATATTCATCAGAAAATGGATAATTTCGGTGGTCAGAAATACTAAAATGAGAAAGAAAAATATGTAACATAGACTCAGTGACTCCATTTCTGTAAGGATAAAGAAGAGCTCCATTATATTTCCTGAGTGGTTGTAGAATCTGCCATTTCTCGTGTATGAACGTAGTTTTATAGGAGATGGTTTTTTAGTTATAACTAAATTATTCAAATTCTACTCACCTGCCAAGAACAGAACATAAAGAACTGACAGAGAAAGAATTCACTCAGCTCCTCCTTAGCTCCCAATCTACCAAATCAAAAACTCCTTTCTTATTTTAAATTCTCAGTGAAAGCAAAAACAGATAGTACCACGTTTATTCACTTACTTTGTGGAGGAAAACACATCCATTTATGCCATGTTTAGTATAAGGATAAATTCACATATTGACCAGTACAAAAGTTATTTTAGTTGTATAGTACATTGTTAGCAATCTCACTTACATTTAACTAACTCATTAATTATTTGCTCACTGCCCATTACACACAATATGGTGCTAGATTCAGATAATGAAAGAATGTTGTTTATAAGATATACATGCAAATCCCCAGAGTTCACCATACATTATTTAGATCTCTATAATTTAGAAATAATACAACAGAAAATCATTACCTCTTAAAATATAATAGGAAACAAGTGTTGGGAAAAGTATAACGGCAGCCGTACCCCAGAGAAAAACCCCAACATGGCGCCTAAGGACCTTCTCTTCCTACTTTCCCCCCCTTTTTTTTTTCATTGGCACAAATAGTTCCCGCAGGTGTGAACTCTCCTGCCGGAGCCAATTTCAAATCTCACTGGCGGAGAACCTTAGCCCCAATAAGAACTAATTCCTGGGCTCCGGAACTGATATCTGGAAGAACTTGCCAATAAACGGGTGGCCTGCCATTTATCTAAGCCCTGCCATCTCTCCTTAGATCTATATAAGCACACAGTCTTTTGCAATAAAATTGGAATTCTCCCTGGCAAAGTGTCTTGCATGGAGGATTCTTTCATTCTGGTGCCAAAACCCGGGATACGGGTGAGCTCTTTCTAAAAAGAGGCCCCATCCCCGGCTCCACCAAGACACTCCACCCTGGTCCACTCTTTCAGACGCTGGCTCCCTGCACTCACCACTGATCTGGCTTAGGTAAGTTCTCCCTCCCCGGCTCGCCAACTGTCTTCGGGCTAACAGCAGGAACTGTGACCGTGATCGTCAGGCACACTCCTGACACCCGGTAGGGAGGAGGCAACCCACCCCACTAAGACCTTCACAGGCTACAGTGGACCCTCTGGCGATCCTCTTCCCTTTGGGGCATGAGGCTTCTGGGTTTGGATGAGAGGCTTCTCAGTTTCTTCCTCCTCCGCCGGAGCTACGTCCCACTGCAGCTGAGTTCCACCGGCACTGCATTCCGCCATAGCTCCTTTCCTCTCATTCCTGACCCTTTCGCTCCAGTCAAAAACTTTCCTGACGTCAGGTTGCCCGTGGCTCCGGCCCAATTTGGGTATCACAGATTGCATTTCACTGGTGACAACCAGGTAGTGCCCTCTGTATTTCCTCACAACAGTAGGTCATTTTGGGGACGCCCACTTGATCCCCCATTTGTCCTGAGCTCCAGGAATCTATTCCAGCCCGGGTTTTCTCTTTGTCCCTCTCTCTTACTCTTATTCTCTCTCTCTCTCTCTCCTCTCTCTCTCTTCCATCTCTCCCTGTGACCATGGTTTCCTCCTCATTTATACCTGAAACCTCACCCCTCAAATGTCAAATAAAAAATCTGACCACACTCTCTCTCACACCAGATATTAAACCCAAACTTCTGACTAAATTCTGTACCCAAGATTGGCCTACATATCCACTGGATAATGGCAATCATTGGCCTCCAGAAGGCTTGTTAGATCCAAATCTCCTCCGGGACCTTTTTAACTATTGCCATAGTCTGATAAAGTGGAGGGAGATTCCCTACGTTGAAGGCTTTAGCCTTCTCACACAACACCCTGCTCTGTGTTCCTCCTGTTCTCCCTCTTAAGTCCTCCTTGCTTGCAAACCCCTCCCTTCCCCTACTTCTACTCCAGACTTTGCAGATTCTTTCTCCTTTAACCCGGCAGATGAACCCCCACCTTATCCCCCAGCCCTATCTGCCCCTCCTCTCCCGCCATCTCCTCCTCTTCCTCCACCTGATTCCATGGGTCCTCAGTCTTCCGTTTCATCCCCCTCCCCTCCGCCCTCTTCCGCCCTCTCCACCTCCTCCTCTGCAGAGATATCCCCTTCCCCTCCCTCTTTTTCCTGTCCGACGCTGACTGCCTCTTTCAGTCCTCCTGTTACCAGGTCTAAGGGACTCCTTCCTACCCCCATGACAATCGCACCCCTTCATGAGGTTGCTGGTCCCAAGGGTATTATCAGAGTACATGTGCCCTTCTCCATGTCAGACCTTACTCAGCTAGAGAGGAAGTTAGGCTCAATCACCACTGACCCTACCACATACATTTGGGAGTTTCAGTGGGTCCTGCAGGCATATAGCCTCACTCATCACGACATTTATATGCTCCTAGTCAATACATTTCTCCCTGAGGAAAGGCGACAGGTCTGGGAACTAGCACAGGCCCATGCTTATGAATATCATAGAACCAATCCCAACCATCCCACGGGCCCACATGCTGTCCCGGAGCAGGATCCACTATGGGATTACAACACCCCTGGAGGCTTACAGAAAAAGGAAGTAACACTGGATAGGAGGCAACTCCTCTCTAATCTTCCGGTGCCTCATACGAATGCCGAAATACTATCATTCCTAGGACCAGCAGGTTATTTTAGGGCCTGGATCCCAAATTACTCTCTTCTAGCCAAACCCCTGTATGACCTAGCAAATGGACCCCCTGGTGAATCTCTTGCCTCCTCTCCCCGCTACCACTTCCGCAGACTTCAGCAACTCCTCTTAAAGGCACCCGCCCTTCACCTTCCTGATCTTTCAAGACCATTTCATCTATATGTCCATGAAAAAGGGGGGCAAGCACTTGGGGTCTTGGGTCAAAACTATGGGCCTAGATTTGCACCTGTGGCATATTTGTCCAAGCAATTAGACCCTACCATCTGTTGTGTGAGTGGCTCGTGATTTTGTGCCCAGCCAGACTGCGGCATTTGGTGGTCCGTGCAGGGAACGTCTAAAGCTTGGAGGTAAGTGAAATTGCTCGCCCCTGAGGGAAGGCGAGAAAATGGGTGACCATTTCAAAAAACAATGTGTTCTTGTTTTGATTTATTTTGTTTTTATTTCAAGTTGCCTGTTCCTAGAACTTTCTCAGGCAAACTGGGGAAAAATGGTTGACTCAAGGTTTAAAGTTGCTTACCCACGAGGGAGAGAAATTGTTAGAGGAAGGAGACACCCCAGTAAGACCAAGAACAATAAGGGCATATGTTGATACAATACAAAAATGTAGCCCATGGCTTTTTAAAGACAAGTTATTAAGTATATCAATGGGACCATCATGGTATCCTATAGAATGATTTTTCTTCAACCAGAAAAAGATAGCTAATTCTGTTTACTATACTTGTCTAAGATCTTGGTTTTTACAGACATATGATTAATTTACAAAGCTAAAGTGTTAAAATATCAACCACTAAATATAAAATCAAGTACTCTTTACTTATTAAGTTACATAAGGTAATATATTTAAACATTATGTGTGTTTTCATAAATTGGTAAATGGAAAAAATGTTTAATATTGCTTTGTGTCTGTGTCTTTGCTAAAACAAGGTTACTAAGAGTTAAAATTCTATCATGTGTAATTTATATACAAAGAGTATAAGAAGTTTTAGTTGGGTTTCAATTATAGTATTATAGTACCATAAAAAAACATGAAAGTATTTCATCTTATTAAAGTGGAGTAATCAGAAATTTTAAAGAAATTTTAAATCAGAAATTTTATAAGAGTTGTTTTCAGAATGTGAATTTATAAAAAGGGTTAACGGTTAAAAAAGAGATATAAAAAGATTCAAGATGTGGAAATATATTTTAATATAAAAGGTTAAAGGAAAAAGAAATGTTTCTATATGAGATAATCTCTGTGTGGTAAAGTAAAAAGTTGTAAAATGCCATTTAAAAAGATTCTGAGGAAACTAGACTTACTTTAAAAGCTGGAGAAAGGAAGAAAGAAGAAAAAAATATTTGTACATGGCAGATTGAGACAAAGCTTCTTAGTGGAGTTAAAAAAAAAAAAAGCTTTTGGTTGAAGGGCGGGAAACCTTTTTTTTTTTCTATAGACTTTTTTCAGATAACATCCACTGAGTCATAACAAGCCCGGCAGTATGATGGCCTAGATGCAGAGGGAACAGCTCCTTGGTGAATGATAAGTATTCTTCAGACTATAAAAGGAACTTCCAGTTGATTTCACCAGTGGACAAATTGAGGACAACAGGTGAACAAGCTTTTTCTATTTTTACATACAAAGATCAGTTATGGGTAAATGACTCAGTGTTGAACAGACTTCAGCTTTATGCTGGAGTCAGTAGCATGTGATCAAGTTGTGTGTTGGCCTTGGGGGTGGAGGAGTGAGGTGGGCACTAAGCCTTTTTTTAAGATTTTTCAGGTACCCCTCACTAAGGCATCGAAGGCTTAAAGTAGGACAACTGGAGCCTTCCTGTGGCAAGAGAGACAACAAAGCGCTATTATACTAAGGTCAATAAGAGTGGTTTTGGCCTCAACCTAATTTTTATTAGCAATGAGGACTTGCTTCAACACCTTCTGGCATGCAGCATCCAGAAGAATGCTCCTGGGCTTACCTTAATATTTGAATAGCTGTTTTTATAGCAGCTTATGAAAAAGCCCAGATCTCAAGTGGTGTTTGAGGGGAGGGAAAGGGGGAAAGTGGGCAACCAGTTTTCCCTAGCTTTTCCAGAGCCTGTTTAAAGCAAGGTCTCCCCACAAGTGACTTCTCTGCCACATCGCCACCCCCTGCCTTTGGCCTAGCACAGACCCTTCACCCCTCACCTCGATGCAGCCAGTAGCTTGGATCCTTGTGGGCATGCTGCATAATCGGTTTCAAGGTAACCATGGTGCTGAGGTCTGGTGGGTTGCACTACTTTAGAACAGGCCGCTAATCTATAAATTTTTAACAGAATATTAAAACCACAGAAATAGCTGTTTTTTATGTATATACACTTATCCAGTGACTAAAACCAACTTAAACCAGTACATAGAGAAATGTCAAGAATGTAATATTGGGTGGGAACATGACCTGTCAGCTTAAGAAGATAGGCTTTAGCAGTGGAGAGGATCCTGATGGATTAGGGTGGGTCCAGGTTTAGGGTGTATCCTGCTGGGAATAGGGAGTATCCCGCTCCTTGGGTTTAGGGCAGTTCCAGATTTAAGGTGGACCCTGCTGGGAATAGGGCGTATCCTGCTGCCTCAAGCACCCACCCGCTCCTTGTTCCCATTGAGTTCTCCCGGGATTCGGAGAGTATTTTGGGATGCAGAGCCCAGTGGAAGTGTGGATTTTGCCCAGAACGTACATGTAGAGTGCCGGTGTGAGTTCGGGAATAAAGAATTGCTGTTTGAATCTACAAGGCTGTGAGTGGCATGTGATTTTGTGCCCAGCCAGACTGCAGCACTGTGGGTGGGCCCCTTGCTTAAGAGCTCTGGCTGCTGGACAAATTTTACACAAAGAAGCCTCTAAGCTGACATTCGGGGCCCCTTTAACTATCCACTCCCCACATCATTTGAAGGATCTTTTAGCTTATAAGGGCCTTCAAACCCTTCCTGTCCAGAGTCCTGTCACTCCTCACTTCCTTTCTGGAAAACCCTAATATTATGTTCTTCCCCTGCCCTGCACTGAACCCTGCCTCACTGCTCCCCACACCAGACACACCAGCTCATAATTGCTTGGAAACCTTGGATGATTTCCTCCCCTGTCATTCTTCCATTTCTGAGGGACCACTCACCAAGCCTGACCTTATCTGGTTCACTGACAGCAGTTCCTTTAGGCAGAATGGCACTCATTACTCTGAATACGCTGTAGTTTCGGCCACTGAGATTATAGAGGCCAAAGCTCTGCCTTCAGGAAGTACCAACCAGCAGGCCGAACTTGTAGTGGCCACTCATGCCTGCCTTCTAGCACAGGGCAAATCCCTCACCCTTTATACTGACTCAAAATATGTCTTCCATATTCTATTATCCCATGCTGCAATATGGAAGGAGCGAGGCCTACTTACCACTAAAGGTAATGCAATCACTAATTCGGCTCTTATAACCAATTTGATAGGGGCCTCCCACTTACCCATCCAGTTGGGAGTTGTCCACTGTAGGTCCCATCAGAAGGACGGCTCTCTTATCACTGAGGGCAACACCAAAGCTGACCAGGCGGCACGGATGGCTGCTACCACTTCCAATTATGACCCCCTGGGGGACATATAATGGCCACTTTAGACTGTCCATCTGAAGCCCCTACTTCTTCCAGTAAGAACAAGGATTTTTTCGAGTTCTTCCATACTCTATTCCATTCCAATTCTCAGTCTTTGACCCTCTTTTTACAGAGATTCTTCTCCCTCACCCCCTCTGACAAAGCCATGCTACAGAATATAGCCTCTAATTGTCAGATCTGTCAGCGGACCAACCCTCATACTCCTTTAAGGCCTAAACCGTTTCCCTCCCACCAAGCCCGGGGACATATTCCTGCTGCTGACTGGCAAGTAGATTTCACCAACATGCCTGCAGTACCGCTCACTAAATACCTCATTGTCTTTTTGGACACGTTCTCTGGTTGGGTTGAGGCATTTCCCACTTCCAATAAAAAGGCTTCCACTGTAGCTTCAATCTTACTGACAGACATCATCCCCAGGTTTGGTATGCCCACTTCGCTACAATCTGACAATGGCCCTGAGTTTATTTCTAGGATCACACAAAAGGTCTCTCAAGCCCTCTCCTTCAAGTGGCATTTCCACTGTCCATATCACCCCCAGGCTTCAGGGAATGTGGAAAGTGTAAATTGGACTGTGAAGGAAGTCCTTACCAAATTGACAATGGAATTAAACTTAGACTGGGTCAAACTCCTTCCCTTGGCTTTGCTTCAGATCAGAGCTCTCCCTAAGAAACCATCTTTACTGTCTCCCTTTGAGATAATGAATGGAAGACCTCTTATACCACCTGGGTTGGTCATTTCACAAGGACCTCTCACACGAGATTTGTCTTTGGCTCTCTTGTTTCATATCCGCTCGGAACTCTGGAAATATCAGGACTGGCTTCTTCCGGACCCAGACTCCTCTCCAAACACTCTTCCCTTAACACCTGGGAGTTTAGTCTATTATAATACTCCAGAGGGGAAAGGGCCTCTTGCCCCCAAATGGGAAGGCCCCTATCCTGCCATTCTCTGTACCCCCACCGCCGCCAAACTCTCCTTACCAGACAACCATCTCACCCCCTGGATTCACATTTCTAGGTTGAAGCTATATCACCAAGAGGCCCCACCTGCTGAAGACAGGACCACCCCAGAGAAACTCCAAGAGTCACCTCCTGAACCTCCCCTTACTCCTGCTCTCCACACCAATCTCACCCCTTTAAGTTGCGGCTCACACGGTGTTCCCCGCAGCCCAATTCCTCTTAAAGAAGGCACAATGAGCTTTCCCGACACCCTAGTCCTCTCTCTCCGCTTGCTTTTTGTGCTCTGCTTGTTTTCTGTGCTCTGTCGGGACTGGTCTTTACCCTCCTCTCCTACCATGTACCAATTCACTCTTCGGGAATGATACTCGGAACATGGCATGCAGAACGTCCGAATAGTGGATGTAACTACTTGCTTCATCCACAACTGCACCTCTGTTTCCCTAAAATTGTCACCTTCCAGGACCTTCATTCCCGGTAGCTGGAACTGGCCTTTTATTTGCTTCCTTTTTGATCAAACCAAAGACTATTGCCACTGGTGGCCTGAGAAAAATAATGGGTGCCCCTATTGGTCATGTAGGCTCCATGATGAACATGGTAGTTATTCTTACCACTCACTTGGCTACCCTGAAGGGTGGACTTCTAGTTACCTCAAATGGCATAAGGGCTCTTCATCTGATAACAATGGATGGTATACTTTAGATATACCTGACCCCAAGGCCAAACGTTGGGACTAGGTTGAGTTTGCTGTCTATGCTCGGACAACCTCAGTCAGACCCACAGGGTGGATGATTGTTGGCCGCTCCCTCATAACGCCACCTAAGGCAACCATCCAGGTAGTCGAACACATCAAGGAGTCAGAATCAAAACTTCAAGATCTTATCCTTAGCCCATCCAAAGAGGATTCAGAGTCTTCAAATCCCTCAGGCCCCCCTCCCACATGGCTCAATTTGTTACACCAAACTCTTCGATTATTAAACTCCACCCCTCTTTCTGTGCCTACTTCTCAGTGTTTCCTCTGTGCTTCACTTAGTCATCCACTTCTAGCAGTAGTCCCATTAGCAGCAGAAAATATTTCAGCAAAAACCTACAATTTCTCTAAGAAAGGACAACCCCTACATATGGCACGTATCCCACTATGGGAAAGTTATTCCACCAATACTTCATTTCCTTTCATCTGTTTCCACCTGCCAACAAGGAATCTTTTACCCATTTGTTCCTTGAGCTATAGCACCCCATTGAGCCCTGCATTTTTGCAACCTGGACATTTCCTCTGGTGTAACAGGTCTTTGAGTACCTCAATGACCAATGTCTCTGGCACCTGTTTCTTGGATACTGTAGTTCCTCAGCTGTCTTTGTATACTCCCACCGAATTCCGACACTTGGCCCTATCTTCCCGCACCTGTAGGGGAGACTTTCTGCTGGTTCTGGTAGGCCTCACTTTAACAAACTCAGTGGTGAGTCTCGGACTCTATGGTGGAGCTATAGGTCATGCTCTATGGGCATCCAATGACCTTCCACAAAAACTGCAAGAAGCGCTTGATACCAGTGCTGAGTCTCTGGGCTCCTCGCAGCGGCAGGTTACTTCATTGGCACAAGTGGCTTTACAGAACCAAAGGGCGATTGATATTCTCACTGCAGAAAAAGGGGGTACATGCCTGGTCCTCAGAGAGGAATGTTGTTACTATGTTAATGAGTCTGGCTAATAGAAAAGAATGTTGTTAAATTGTAGGAATTATCGACCCAATTGCTCAAACCCACCTCCTCTAATCCCATAATGGGGTCCTTCCAATCCTCTCTGCCACGTACTTGCTACCTCTCTTGGGGCCCCTTATTGGGATGCTCCTTTTTTGTGCTCTCTTGCCCTGTATAATGAAGTTCCTTCAAACCCAATTACAGAAAATTTCTAATCAAACTTTCAACCAGCTTCTGCTTAGGCACTACCAGCCTCTGATGACCGATGAACCCCTAACATCTTCAAGAGAACAGCTCACTCAGTGCTGAAGCTCACTACCAGGCACAATGGAATGCAACAGACATCGGACAGCAGGAGACAACGAGCCTGGAGAACCTCTTAATCTGCCACCCTGGATTCTTGAGCCTTTACGTCCTTTTAAGCCTCCTCATGCCCTTGGCCTCTTCTCTGTCAGTCCCCCAATGTGGAACTTCTGCCAAAAACTGACCTTTGCTTTAATTTTTATCTTCATCCTGTTTTTGTTCTCTCTGATCTTCTTCAGGTGCTGGTGACGCCACATCAAGGCAACGCTTCCAGTATTTCCTAGAGTCTCTGTTACAGGACCAGTGGCTGATACCAACAGTCTCCTCCATCCAGGACTGGTTCGATGCCATCGACGACTTGTGGCTTCAGGGAACCTTCATAGACTTCACCCCTATGGAAGTAGCTGTCTATAGCCACTGGGTTTTATTTCTGCCTGCCATGATATCCCCAGACCTGCCCCCCTAAACATTCCTCCACTTCCCCTTCTAGGCCCCACACCGCCCCCACACAGCAGGAAGCAGCTGGATCTGACCAATGATGCCACAGTTCCTAAGAAAACAAAAAGGGAGGAATGTTGGGAAAGGTATAATGGCAGCCGCACCCCAGAGAAAAACCCCAACATGTTGCCTAAGGACCTTCTCTTCCTACTTTCCCCCTTTTTTTTTTCCATTGGCACAAAAAGTTCCTGCAGGTGTGAACTCTCCCGCCGGCGCCAATTTCAAATCTCACTGGCAGGGAACCTTAGCCCCAATAAGAACTAATTCCTGGGCTCTGGAACTGATGTCTGGAAGAACTTGCCAGTAAACTGGTGGCCTGCCATCTCTCCTTAGATCTATATAAGCACACAGCCTTTTGCAATAAAATTGGAATTTTCCCTGGCGAATTGTCTTGCGTGGAGGATTCTTTCAACAAGAATTGCTGATTGCTTGCTACTTCTTCATTTGTATCTATATTAACAAAAATATTAGTAATGATAACAATGTATCTGCCAATATTTAACCATATGTCATCATGGATTGTCTTATCCCCTGTCAAACATAATCATATTCATTTCTATTATGAAGTAAATTTCTGATATGCAGAAAGGACATATATTCCTTGTTTATCCTCACTTATAATATATGTCTACTGCCAGAATCCATAACTATAAAGCATTGCAAAAAAGTAAAAAATTTTTTCATGACTATCAATTGTCTGCAACAACTTATTTTCTACACCCTTCTCTTGCATTTGAATCTTTCTTCTCATAAACTACTTTATCCTCTGCATTGAGATGTCTATATTTTCAAATTCAAAACCAAATGTTCTTCCAACAGAATCAATGGAAGCCTTTTGGCAAACAACTGCGGTTTCTGGGTTCTGATCAAAACTGCACCGAAAAGAGGGAAAGACTTAAAAGTAAACAAAGGCACATGTCTACCAAAGTTACTTACAGCTGCATGACAATACATCAAAAATTTCTGTTCAGGCTATCTAGGTCTTTCATATTATCTCAGTCAACTCGAATCAAAAACCTATCACACAAGTATTAGAGTCTGTAAACAAGTCTGGATGGCACCTGGCAAAATGCCAGAGGGAATGGTTAATGTTAGAGTCTGTAAACAAGTCTGGATGGCGCCTGGCAAAATGCCAGAGGGAGTGGTTTGTGAAGTAAGGCCAGCGAGCCATTAAATGTGGAGATTTCTTATTGGTTCACTGCTGTATCTATTTTATGTTAATTAGATAAGCTGTGTGGAATGTATAAATACCGCTCCTGTCCTACAAAACGGCTCCCACTCCTGCTGTATCAATGTACACAAGTTGTTCATCACCCCCTGGTTATTTTGCTGCAACCGGACTACGGCACATAAGTAGAAAGTTTTTAGCCTGTGTAGACTGCATATTACCAATCCTGGAAATCATATGAAACAAGAGTATTACAGAAATGTTTGAAATATCTGAGATTTTTCCAAAAGCTATTAAAAGACATCAAACACAACACTCACATGGTCAATAAATATCAGGTGAAACTTTAAAAGAAATCAAATTTCTTATGTCATATATAGAAACTGCACCAACTACATACAAAAATAGATCTCTAAAAGGAGCTGTAGCAAAATAATGTTATTCTAAGATGTCAGTGTCATGTATATAAGAGACCTCAAGAAATATAGTGGCAATATTATGAAATATAAAGGATAATTCGATAATTTTTAAGGATACAGTATGATTTCTATATCCCATCAATGGACAGTCAAAGCTCCTACAATGATTTTTGATCAATATTTTTAAGTCAGAAATTGGTAAAGTACTAATTTCATCCTGTTCAAAAAACAAAGGAGCTAACTCCAAGGATCACCTTCTTTGAGATATTCTACACATAGAAACAAATTTCATGAATTACTAACATACTGAAAAATGGATATATAAATCTTTGTAATTTCCTTAAGAAATGGCAAGAGAGTAAAATATTGATCATTTAACAATTGATAAATTAGAAAAATAGCATTCTCTGAATTCTTTGAAATGTCTGTACATTTGAAAAGTCTCAAAACAGATATGAATTTTAAAGATTATCAAAATTGTAACAACTGTATGAAAAAATATAACAGAATTTATACAAATGCATTCATAGATCAGTTTATTGCAATATGTGTAAAAACTACATACATATTAGAAACTTATATCATACCAGGTATTAAAATACTTAATAATTCAAAAAGTATTTTCTCTCTGAACTTATTGAGAGTTCCAATGCAATATTAAGCAAACAAAGAAAATCTTCATAGAGATCAATAAAGTGATTCTATAGTCTTTATAATAGAAAAGTAGATAGAAATGGAATTTATGTTGCTGGAAGTTGAGCTAGTCATTTAAACATTATGTGTGTGTTTGCATTTTTGTTTCATATGATGATTAAAAATAGTGCATTTAAATTATATGTGGAATTAATTACTGTAGCACATTTGGAAAGAAATGTATTAAAATACTGTAGAGTTCCCAATATAAGTTAAAATATGAGACTCATCAACCATAAAGTCAAGGAATGAAGAGAAGAAACTTTGTTCATGAAAATATACAAAAGGAGAATAAAAGCACAGGTAGAATGCGGGAGACCATATTTCAACAAATACATCTGTACCTGAAAAACAAAATCCAGAATATATAAATGTGGTCAATTGTTTGCAAAAATGTTCCTCCCAATAATTAGTATCTCCTTGTCTCCAAGTTCTTTCCTAAGAGATGGTGTCTATTTCTGCACCTCTTGAGTCTTTCCTCGTCTCTAACTTGTATTGGCCATTAGAACTTGGCAGAAGCAGTGATGTGCCCATTCTGGGCCTAGGCATGAGAGGATCTGCAAGGATACATGCACTGACTTGGGATAGTGCTATGTTATATGGTGAAGCCTGGGTCATTCCCAAAGGGAGGGGAAGGGAGCTCAGACACCCCCAACAACAGAGCAAGCAATACTGAAGCAGAGGCATCCTGCAGGT